ATATTTATGGTATTCTGCGACCATCACCATAATCTAACTTTTGAACAGTTTTATCATTTTCAAAAGGAACTTAGTATGCATTGGCAGTCATTGATTCCCACCCAAACCTCCCAGCTCCCACCCACCCCTTAGCAACCACTAATCTACTTTATAACTCTATAGGTTTGCCTGTTCAGGAAGCCTGGTAGATGAAGAAAAAAAAATCACTTAATGTCATTAGTTTTTAAAATTTATTTCGTTACACAGTTAATACATGCTAAACACTAGGAGACAGAAGATGAAAGACCCAGTCCTTGTCTCAAGAATTTGATAGTACAGAAGAGATTCCAAGGCTCTAGGCATTTAAAACACAGGAAGATTAGAGGTAGTAGAAAGTGTCTCTAGGAACAGAAACTGGGAAAACTTAAATGAGATGCAGATTACAAGTGAAACCTTCCTAGAGGTTCATTTCTCAGGTTTTTGGGGCCTTTTGTTTTGTTTTGTAGTTTTTGTTTTGAGACAGTCTTGCTCTGTCACCCAGGCTGGAGTGCAGTGGTGTCATCCTGGCTCACTGCAGCTTCAACCTTGGGTCAAGCCATTCTCCTGCCTCAACCTCCTAAGTAGTTGGGACTACAGGTGCATACCACCATGCCTGGCTGATTTTTTAATTTTTTTATAAAGACAGAGTCTCACTATGTTGCCCAGTCTGGTCTCAAACTCCTGGGCTCAAACCATCCTCCTGCTTTGACCTCCACAAATGCTGGTATTACAGGTGTTAGCCACTGCACCCAGCCTCATTTGTTTTGAAAAATGAGTAGGAGTTAGCTAACCGAAGATCGTAAAAATGAATATTCAGTTTAGAGAGAGGTGTATGTCCAAGTGGAGAAGCATGAAAAAGACTGTTTCATTTGGGCAGTTGTAAATACTGTAACTAGAAATATTGTAACCAGAGCATGAAATATTAGAGTAGAAAGTATTCAGAATTGACCAACTTTGACAGTAGCTAGATAATAACCTGTGTAATTCTACTGAGAGATATGAATTTTTTCTTTTCTTTCTTTCTTTTTTTTTTTTTTTTTTGTGATGGAGTTTTTGCTCTTGTTGCCCAAGCTGGAGTGCAATGGCAAGCTCATGCCTGTAATCCCAGCACTTTGGGAGACCAAGGCGGGTGGATCACCTGAGGTCAGGAGTTTGAGACCAGCCTGGCTAACGTGGTAAAACCCCATTTCTACTAAAAATACAAAAAATCAACTGAGTGTGGTGGTATGCGCCTGTAATCCCAGCTACTTGGGAGGCTAAAGCAGGAGAATCGCTCAAGTTTGGGAGGCAGAGGTTGCAGTGAGCCAAGTTTCATGAATTTTATCAGGAAAGCTGCTGAATAAGAAAAAATGAACATATTAATATTGTGTAAAGATTATTCTGACAGCAGATTGACGATGAATAGGAATCAAGAAATACAGTTAAAAGATTATTACAAGAGCAACTTAACAATGTTTCATTGACACTATACTTGCCAGTATATATAGATATACGTCTCTCTTTACAATGACTACGCAGTATTCCACTGTATGGATGTGATCTCTTAATCCAGTATTTCATTAAAGAACACTTGAATTGTTTCCAATTTTTTACTTTCACAAAAAAATACTGCAGTGAATATCTTTGGCAACTTGGATAGATTTTTTTTTTTATAGAACACATTCCTAAAGTGGAGTTGCTGAGACAAAGTTATATGTATATTTAAATTGTGATAGTGTTGTGGGAATGCAGGCCTTGAGCGTGAGACATCCAGTTTCTTGGTGTGTTGAACAAAGAGTTGAACAAAAAGCACAAAGTAACAAAAGAACAAAACAGCAAAAGTGGGGAATATTGAAGTGGAAAACACTCCACAGGGTGGAATTGGGCCTGAGTCAGTGGTTCAGGGGCCCTGCTTACAAGGTTTTCTGGGATTTATGTACCTCTTTTGAGGTCCCTATTGGCTACCCACTATGTAGATGAAGAATTTGGCCTGTGGCCAATTAAAAGCTGAGGTGAGTTGGCCTGTGGCCAACCAGAGGCCAGAGTGGACCAGTGCCCTATGCAGACAAGGGGATAGCCCGTGCTTGGCCCATGGCCAATCCATGGCACTTTCCCTTTCCACCTGAGTGTTAGTGGAATGGGGAGGCTTGTAGCCTCTGATCCTTTGTTACTAGGGGTTGGAGAGATGGGGATTTCTTTTTATTAGAAATAAATGTTGGATTTTGTAAAATACTCATTCTGCATTTATTGAGATAATCTTTTTTTCATTTTTAGTTTGCTAATATGGTACATTATATTGATTTATGTTTCAAATATCAAACCAGCCTTGCATTCCCAGAATAACAGCCCTTAGTCATGATGTATTGATGTTTTGTATATTTTTTGATCTGTTAAAAATTGTTTAGAACATTTTTATTTTCAGTGAAGATTGTTGGTTTGTAGTTGTCTCTCCTTATAATGGCACTCTCTGCTTTTGGTAGAAGAGTAATTTGTGCTTCATAGAATGATTTGAGAAACATCTTCTCCTTTTCAGTTTACTGATGAGTTTATTTAGAATTGGTTTTTTTTTTTTTTTTTTTTTTTTTTCATTAACTGTTTGGTAGAATTCACCAGTGAAGCCATCTGACTTGTTGCTTTCTTTGTGGAAAATTTAATTTAATTCATAATTACTAATTAAGATTTTCTAAAAATAAGTCTAGGGCTATTCAGTTTCTTTCTTTTTGAGTGAGCTGTGATAGTTTGTGTATTTTGAGAAATTTATTCATTTCATCTAAGTTGTCTAACTTATTGGCATAAATCTGTTTATAATACTTCCTCATACTTCTAGAATCTGGATATTCTGTACTAAGGTTACTTCTCTTTTTACTGATACTGGTAAATTGTTTCTTCTCTGTTTTTTTCTTAGTCTGGCTATAGGTTTGTAAATGTTATTGGTTTTCTCATAATAAGGATCTGAACAAGAATAAGGAGTTAGCAAGATGAAGGTCTGAGTTTCCTCAGTTCTTTCACAGTTCCTGCAAAGGGGAGGGAGAACTTGGCATTTTCCAAGAGAATAAACTGTTAAGTGACCAAGAATGGAAGCCTGGAGAGCAGTTATGAGGGTATGGCAATAATATAAGTCAGAATAAGATGATGTTGGCTTGGACCACTGCAGTAGCTAATGAGGTGATGAGAAGTGATCAGAAGCAGATTATGAAGGTAGGGCTAATAGGACCTGCTGATGACTTGTACTTGGAATGATAAAGAAGAGTCATGAATTATGCCTAGTCTTAAGCCTGAATAATGTGGTTAATGGTGCCTTCATGAAATAGGGAAGACTGAGAGGAGCAGATTTGGGTTATTATAGGGGTAAGTGCAGTGGAGATGACACATCAAGAGTTCGGATTTAGACATAATGAAGAATTTGAATTTGAACGGTTAGTTAATTCAAATAATTTGTTGTTGTCGCATGTGTGTATGTATGTGGGGTTTTTTTGTGTTTTGTTGTTGTTGTTGTTTTTGAGACAGGGTTTCACTCTGGTTGCCCAGGCTGGAGTGAAGTGGCATGATCTTGGCTCACTGAAGTATTGACCTCCCAGGCTCAGGTGATTCTCCCACCTCCGGAGTAGCTGGGATCATAAGTGTGCATGACAACACCCAGCTAATTTTCGTTGTTGTTGATGTATTCTAAGTAGAGACAGGGTTTCATCTGTAGCCCAGGCTGGTCTTGGAACTCTTGGACTCAAGCAGTCCACCCTCTTCAGCCTCCCGAGTACTAAGATTACAAGCATGAGCTACTACATGTGGCCAGTTGCCTATTTTTTTTGTGTTTGCTTATCTAGGAAATTCAATCTTTACCTCATAAAGATTGTCTGTCTAATGAAGCCACTATGTAAGAGATACTCAAAATAGAGGAGGCAATGTTGTACAACTGCCTTAGCGTATAATTTCATATAAAACATTCAAATTATAATAAACCACGAAGTAGAAAGAAACAGATATATATGAATAGCTTTGTGCTAATAAGGACATTGGTGTGAAGTTATCAGATTCAGGGTGTCCCTTATACTAACAACCTTACAGAGAAATAGTCTATTTGTAGGTAGTATATGTAATGTGAATAACCAATATAAACAAACTTTCTTGGTATGATCAAAACATAGAACTCTGAAATTATTTATTTTTCTTTTCAAAAGTGATTTGTGTATAAATCAAATATATTTCAGCAACTCACAAAAATTGGGCTCAGAATGTCAGACCTCCTTTAAAACAGACTGTGATGTTAACGTTCAGCCCAAGTAGAGCAGATAAAATGGGGTCTCCTTGGAATAGGCCCAGAAGCTGACTAACTTTCAGGAGTAGAAGGATTCAATCTCTAATTTTGGGAAATGATAAACTACAGAGAAACCACTATCCTCTCCCAGAAAGTACTCTTAAGAGAGTATTAAACTGGTTAATCTATTGGACTTATCTCTTTTCTGATTTTATATAGTAAGTCTCCAAGTTAGAATAAGATTCCTTCAGTCTAAAGTAGAATCATAATATATTAAGGAATAAAGTTTTTTTAATTTACATTTTTGTTTCAGCAATCCTCTAAATAAAATGTAATAAGCATTTGTTTTAGCAAATCCTTTGAGGCCAGAGACCTTATTTGGGTCATTTATTACTATATTCCTAGCATAAGCATAGTGTGGGTACCCTGGTAGTTTTCTAGATGAATACGTGTATTAGTGAAACTTCGTAGTAGAAAGCATGGCTTATTTCATGATTGTTTTAATACATTTCTTCACTAGAGGGTGCTGTGTAAGTATTCAGCACTTTAAAAGTGTTATCTCTTTCACTTATACTTATTTGTAGGAAGATTGGATTTTTAAATTACCTGATTTAGCAAAAGCTTTCATTTGTTTTTTGTTTTGTTTTGTTTTGTTTTCAAAGCAGTACTGGTGGTATTGTGTATGGTTAATTAATGAAAATGACAGATTAATGGCAGCATTAACACCTATTATTTTTTTCCTCCTCCTTAGGAGACTTATGACCCCAATCATGTATGCTGCTCGAGATGGTCACACCCAGGTTGTTGCTCTCCTTGTTGCTAGTGGAGCAGAAGTTAATACCCAGGATGAGAATGGTTACACTGTGAGAAACATTTTTACAATGTTTCTTTTTGTTTCTGAGGCACTGATACTGTGTTATTATTATCACTAATCTACAAAAAAGAGTTTTAAGAAGTAATAATTACAAAAGGGCTGTGATATAATTGCTGTTTGTTGAAAAAAAGCAACAGTTGAAATAGAAGGCCAGGAGTGCTGGCTCATGCCTGTAATCCCTGCACTTTGAGATACTAAGGCGAGTTGATCATCTGAGGTCAGGAGTTCGAGACCAGCCTGGCCATCATGGTAAAACCCCATCTCTACTAAAAATACAAAAAATTAGCCAGGCATGGTGGTGCGTGCCTGTAATCTCAGCTACTCAGGAGGCCGAGCCAGGAGAATCGCTTGAAGCTGGGAGGCAGACGTTGCAGTGAGCCAAGATTGCACCACTGCACTTTAGCCTGGGCAACAAGAACGCAACTCTGTCTCAAAAAACAAAAAAAGAAAGAAAGAAAAAAGAAATAGAAATAAGGAATTAACTAACTCTCTTAGTCCTTAATCTTGACACACACACAAAAAAAAATGTAACTCACAGCAAAATTTGGGCTCTGAATTCTTTTGGGCTCTGAAAAGAATTCTTTTTTGTAGAAAACCCTTCAGTGATTAGCAAATAAACCATTTTATTCCATAACATCAGTTAATTGTATAAAACACTGCCTTTAAAAAAATCAATGAACTTTGCAGTCAGCTTTGCAATTACAGCTTTGGAAATATGTTTACATTATATTGTGAAATGAAGAGATTGCATCATTCCATTAATTAACTGTGTTCACTTTTTTACTGTGCCATAAATACTGTTGAACACTTTTCCTATCTGTCTCATATACTCTTTCTCTTTAAACAATCTTCTTTTCTCCCCAACTTACAGGCTTTAACGTGGGCAGCACGTCAGGGTCATAAAAGTATAGTTTTGAAGTTGCTTGAACTTGGAGCCAATAAAATGTTACAAACCAAAGATGGGAAGCTGCCCAGTGAGATTGCAAAAAGAAACAAACATCATGAGGTATACTTCTGTATATATTAAACCTTTTTGTGGCTTATCACATTATAATTTGTAGAACTTTTGTAGTTTTTGTTAGAATTTACAAGTGTAATTATAATGTATCTGGCAGTTATTAAATTAAATTGTTTATATATGTGTATTTCCTCCAGCCAGGTAATGAAAACTATTTTCCTAGAGGATTCATCTTCTACTAAACAAGATGCACTTATAATACACTAATTTAAAAGCCCTATAAAAGAGTAATAAAATCTTATTCTGGCCCCAGGAGTAAAATTGTAATATACTATTTAAACCTTTTTAACTGGTCTGGAATTTTAAAAGTTATCCAGCGAAAGCTAGTAAAATGCCAGAGTTTGAACATGTAACTAAAACATTCTTTTGTAAGTTTAATTAATATATTAAGCAACTTAAAAATTAAATTGTTTAAGCAGCATTTACTCTTATATGTGTGACAGGGCATACAATAAAGTGATAATATAGCTGGATGTATAATCTGTCATTCAGATGTTAAACTCAATAATAAATACTTGCCATACATTAAGTTACTTTATCAATATGAACTTTTGGTCTGAAGATTACAGCTTTAGCCACAGTCTGTAATGTCTAAGCAAGGACCAAATATAGTACAATTATAAAACTAAGTTATTTAGTTTAAGAGTTTGTAACACTGAATTCCTGAATTTGAAAACACATAAAATTCCAAAGATTCCGTCATGTAATCATCAGACCAAGCCACTTTTACTGCATATAAAGTAACTTCCTCTAACCTTTCAAGCAACCTGATAAACATGCCTGTCATTTTCCAAATGTTATTTTAATATTTTCAGAATTATTATTAGGTAAATGGTAATCACTAAAGACCTGTAGAACTTGAAAAAGGAATTTACCATTATTCTTCTAAGCTTTGAAAATTCAAAAACTTAAATTTATTACATAACATTGTTAAATTTAGAGTAGATGACACCAAACTTGAAATAAGAGGTTTATAAACATCAAAGGTTATTTTGAGTCATACATCATGTATTGAAATGAGATTTGATCTTGCATTTTGACTGATTACATGATATAACCTTGACTTCCTAATAAGTCAGATTTTAAAACTAAGAAATTTCACCATATCTTTTTGAGGTATTTAGTTAGGATTTGTATACATTTAGTCATGCTCATTATTCTCTTTCCATTTAGCAATGTTTTTAAAGTACTACCTTAATATTTAATCTGAGTCATTTTTCCAAATGGAATTTTTAGTTTTGCTTTATAGCTTACCAAAAATATTAATTACTCTCTTCCTTTAATCTTTACTATTTTTAATTAGATATACTGTTTTTCTTTCTGACTATTATTATAGGTCAAGGAAGAATTTACTTGATATCCAAGTTACCCCGATTTGTTTCACATTGTATATATGTACCCCAAAAATATGTACAGCTGTCATATATCAAATTTTTTTAAAGTTGCTATCAGGGTAGTAAATTGTGAAACTTCTGTCCCTCTTACTTGCTAAAATTTTCTTTCTGGATATGAGGTAATCATATGGTTTCTTTTAAGTGTACGTTATATTATACAATGTTAATTATATTTGAATGGTGTTTTTTCAGATCTTCAACTTACTTACTTTTACTCTAAATCCATTGGAAGGAAAACTTCAACAGCTAACTAAGGAAGAAACTATTTGTAAAATATTGACAACAGATTCTGATAGAGAAAATGACCACATTTTTAGGTAATATAACATGTTTTAGTTCAACAGAATACCTACAAGAAAGTAAAAAATGTGTATATTTTGCTGTAGTAAATGTGGTGACTTACTTAAAATATCTGATATTTTAAATGTTTATGAGCATTTTTAAATGTCTGGGTTTTTAGTATTCTCCAGAATTTTAGAAAATGTTTATTCATTTTTATGTACTAACTCTAATGAAAACTTTAAATGTAAACTAAGTACATTAAAATATTAACAATAGGCCGGGCGCGGTGGCTCACGCCTGTAATCCCAGCACTTTGGGAGGCCGAGGCGGGTGGATCACGAGGTCAACAGATCGAGACCATCCTGATCAACATGGTGAAACCCCGTCTCTGCTAAAAAAAAAAAAAATACAGAAAATCAGCTGGGCATGGTGGCGCGTGCCTGTAATCTCAGCTATTCTGGAGGCTGAGGCAGGAGAATTACCTGAACCCAGGAGGTGGAGGTGGAGGTGGAGGTTGCGGTGAGCCGAGATTGTGCGATTGCACTCCAGCCTGGGTAACAACTCCGTCTCAAAAAAAAAAAAAAAAAAATTAACAATAAAACTTATTTTTAAAAGGTTCTGAAATTATATTCGTGTTCAAACAGTATTATGCCTTATTTTCTAATTATTTTTAGTACATTTTTAATTTTATAAGCTAAAATTAAAAATATACTTTTCCCCCGGAACACTGCTGTTCAGTACATGGCCAAAAATAATTCTCCCCTTACGCCATTTCAAGTTATTTACATTTTATTTATTACAATAAAGGGGTGGTTTGTTTTTCGCTTTTTGCTTTTTGTGGGTTTGTTTTTGCCTCAAACACCTGGGCTCAAGCAGTTCCTCCACCTCAGTCTCCCAAGTAGCTGGGACTATAGGTGCATGCCACTGTGCCAAGCTGAGGAGATTTTTATGTGCAAAAATTTCACAAGAAATACATACTGGCATGTATTTTCATTTTGGGGAAAGATGAGCTACATTCCTCATATATCTTCAGTCACAAAACTTCACTCATTCCTTGGATATAGCATAGGTCTGGTGTGCAGGTTGCAAATATATTCTACATTAATTCATTCTTATTCATATTCTCTTGCAATATAAATATATATTTATTGCTTGTGCATTTATAGTCTATTCTGAAATTGACATTGCTATAAATGTATATAGTTCATATGCAGCATTTGGAGATCTGGAAGTATTTTTACATGGTCTTGGACTTGAACATATGACAGATTTATTAAAGGTAAGATCTTATATAACCTACAGTGAGTTATGCATATATGTTTATTTGTTGGTTAATATAACATTAGATAATAATTCATAAACATGTCCATGAACAACTGCCAATTTACTTTTCTCCATACTTTTAGTACATTCTGATTTTAAATTTGTAATAAACATTTTAAAAATGTATTATTCTAGACATTTACATAAATTGGAATATGAAATTAGACAGTTCTTACCCACTGTCTAACCTTCATATACGCCTGAGCCCTTAGATACGAATCTGTATTTGCTCATCTTTAGTAGAATATAGGAAGAGCATGATTTTAAACCAAACACACCTGGTATCAGATTCTTGCTATAATGTTTAACCATTGAAATATGTGACTTAAAGATCTCATTTTCTTCATAAAGATAATAATACCTAGTGTAGGGTCGTCATGAAAGTTAAATCAGATCATATGCCAACCACTGTCTCTGTGCTTTCAGTGTACATTCTGGGGTTTGAGTCCATGACAGTTATCACCTAAGTGGGAATACTGCAGTAAAGCACTATTTACTTTGAAATCATGAGTAAAAAATACATGATGGTTTAATGTGATACAGTCAGAAATTTAAAATACTAATAAAACATTTTTGTCAAATATTATAGAGCTGCTTTTCTTTTAATGTAAACAAATATGAATGGTAATCATTTTATTTGAATCTGAAAAACTAGCTATGTTTATCCTGGTGAATATAGTTATTATGATACTCATTACCTATCTACTCAGTAGTATAGTTCTATATCTACATATCCTGTCCCCTCTAGAAAGTTGGAATTTGCTTGAGAATGAAGCATGTAACTAACTTATGAATACTTCACTACTTCCCCTTCTACTATTTTAATTATATGGAAAGGTGGCCTTTTTTTCTCCTTTTATACAGGAAAGGGATATAACTTTAAGACAACTTTTGACCATGAGGGAAGATGAATTTACAAAGGTTAGCATCAGTTTCAAAAATTCCCAATATATTATTTGATGCTTTTTAAATTGTGGACCCTTTTCTTTTCTGTTTAAAATGCTCTGTTTAAAATAATTATGGATAACCATATCTAAAATTTTGTGTTAGTATGTTAGTATTAAGTTACTTTAAGAACATGTGAAGACTTACAGTTTGGGTTTTGTTTTGTTTTTTTTTTTAGATTGTTATGATGTCTGAGCTAAAACTGATCCTTCAGTTTCAAACATGGAATAGATTTGTAATATAGAGGGCACTTAGAAATAAGAGATCGTCCTTTATGTATATGAGTATTAACACATGTCTTCCAAGATTTCCATTCGGTTCTCAAAACTATTGAGACCTATTATTTTGCCATCTTGTATTATCTCATAACATGTAGCTGCAGGATGTATTAGAAATATTTTGATAAATAGTATATGTAAAACGCAGTGATCTGGCTCCATGATCCCATTGGAAACTTAAAATTTTTAATATCACTAAAAATCAATAAGCATACTACAAAGCTAAATCCAGTATAGAAAATTTAGCTTAACACTAAAGGTAAAATAATACAAAGATAGGTCTTAATTCTCATTTATCACTGATAATATTTTTAAAAAATTTTGAAAGAAAATTTGTTTTACTGTGTTTTTTTGAAATATTACATATTCAGTTCCAGTAATTTGTTGTGGGAGTCTATCATAATTGTTATGTATTGCAAAAAATTGACTATAGTTATATATAATATCTAAATATTTTAATGCTGTAACTATCATCAATCACAGTTATAAGAAAGCCATATATTTTTTAGAAATGTGTTATTTTTCCAACATATGTCTATTTTTTCAAGATGTGAATTCATCAAGTAAGAAAACATCTGTATTGATTTTGAGTTTTACATTATTCAAGTATAACTAACTTACTGTACCCTAAAACTATTTCTGCTCAGAATGGATTTACCAGTAAAGACCAACAGAAAATTCTGGCTGCTCTTAAAGAACTAGAGGTAGAAGAGATACCGTTTGGAGAGTTGTCTGAAGAGGCAAAGCTGGAAATCAGGTAAAATTAACTTACTTGTTTATATTAACAGTGTTAAGAACCAACTGTTCTTTTATAGTTTAATTTTCATAATGTCTGAGTCATTTTATTTGATACCGTCATTTTCCCAGGGTAATAAATTTTGGAATATATACCATGTTCTAAAATTGGATGTGCTTTGTAAAGTTAATTTTTATAAAGCCATTTACCAAGAAACAAAACAATGCGTCTTCCTGTTAACTCACATAGAAATATTTTATATTTTCATTGCATCTTGCTAAATTGAACTTCAAAAACAATCCCATGCTTTTCATAGTATATCTTTTACTCTAAAAAATCATTTTAGAAGTTAAATTGAAAATTCAAAGTAGTAATATTTTCATTTAGGGCAGTAAGAAAACATTTCTCATGTAGCTCAGTTCTATTTTCAGCCTTACTGTATGAGAAATTATGGTACCAATATGTAAGCTTCATTTCCAGTATTATAAACTTGTCAAGCAATGGTTATTAATAATCCAAATCTATTTTGAAAAAATGATATTTGATTTTATTAACATATTATAGAGCAATAAATGATTTTTTTAATTTTTGAAATATAGGTTCTTGGGGCATTTGAAACATATACATAGGGAAGTCCCATACACTCTTTACCTAGCTTTGCCCAATATTAGTATCTTTTATCACTGTAGGACAGAATCAAGTTAGAAAATTTACATTGGTACAACCCATAGAGCTTACTTGTGAGTTATGCACTCATTTGTGTGTGTGTGTGTGTGTGTGTGTGTGTGTGTGTGTGTGTGTAATTTTATCACATTTGTAGCCTTATGAAACTACTTCCATATTCAATGTACTTAACACAGGGCTTCCTCATACTACCCCTTTATAGCCACATCTATCCTTCTTCCCATCCCAACCCCTAGCAACCAATAATTTGTTCTCCATCTTTTTAATGAAGTTATTTCATGAATATGGTAGAAATAGAATCATATAGTATATCTCCTTTTGAGGTTAACTTTTTTCAGTCATCCTAATTTTCTTGAGGATCATCAAAGTTGTTGCATATATCAGTACAATAGTTAATGCCTTTTTATTGCTGAGTAGTATCCTATGGTATGTTTAACCATTTATCCATTGAAGAACATTTGAGTAGATTTTAGTTTTTAGCTATTCCAAATAAAACTACTATGAACATTCATCTACAAGATTCTCTTAGAAAATACATTTTCTTTCTCTGGAATAAATGCTGAAGAACATTTTAGAGCATATTTAGTATATTTTAAAATGCCCAACTGTTTTCCAGAATGGCAAGACTATTTTATATTTCCAGCAACAGGGTATAAAGTAATCCAGTTTGCTTTCCATCCTCATCAGCATTTGGTATTAGCATGATTGTTTTTTAGGCATTTCTGATAGGTATATAGTGATAGCTTGTTGTGTTTTTATTTGCACTTACTAATGACTAATGATGTCAAACAGCCTTTTACTTATTTGTCATCTTTGTACTTTTTGTGGTAAAATGTCTAACAGTATCTTTTGCCCATTTTATGTTGGATTAATCATTTTTTAACATTGAGTTTTGGGAGTTATCTACATTCAAATCTTTTGTTGGATATGTAATTTGTAAATATATTTTCCCACTCTATAATTTTTCTTTTCATCCTCTTAATGGGGTCTTTCACAGAGCAAAAACTTTTATTTTGATGAGATCTAAGTTACCAAATTTTTCCTTTACAAAATACCACTTTTGGTGTATTTTTAGTTTCAAGTTAAAGAACAGTTTAAGAAATTAGGTCTTGAAGATTTTCTCCTATACTTTTTTCCTAGAAGTTTTATAGTTTTACATTTAAGTCCATGATACATTTTGAGTTCATTTTTGTAAAGGTACATGGTTTAGGCTGAGGTTCATTTTTTTGCATAGGGGTGGCTGATTGTTCTAGCACTATTTATTGAAAAGGCTGCACTCCTCCATTGAATTGCTTTTGATTATTTGTCAAAAATTAATTGGGCATATTCATGTGGGTATAATCTGGGTTCTCTATTTTGGGTTTTTCATGTGTCTATCCCTCTGCAAGTACCACATGTGTTGATAACTCTGTGTGGTAAGCCTAAATATCAAAAAGAGTGATTCCTCTAATTTTGTTCTTTTTCAAAATCATCTTGGCTATTCTAGAGCCTTTTTCTTTCCATATACATTTTAGATAAAGCTTTGTTATGTCTACAAAAAACCTTTCCGAGATTTTGGTAGTAATTGTATAAATCCTACTGATTAATTTAGGCATAACTAACATTTAGCTATGTTAATTCTACTAATTTATAAACACAGATATCTCTAAAAGTTGTAGGTTGGTTTTTTTTTTTAACTATATTTTTGAGGCCAGGTCTCGCCCTGTCACCCAGGTTGGAGAGCAATGGCACAATGATGGCTCATTGCAACCTCGAATTCCTGGGCTCAGGTGATCCTCCCGCCTCAGCCTCCTGAGTAAGTGAGACCACTGGCATGCCCCACCATGCCTGGCTAATTTTTTTAAAATTTTGTAGAGACAGGGTCTCATTTTGTTGCTGCAGTTGGTCTCAAACTCCTAGGTTCAAGTGATCCTCCCCAGTTGGCCTCCCAAAGTACTGGGATTACAAACATGTGCCACCATTTCTGACCTTCTTTTGTTTTCTTTTATCAGCATTCCGTCATTTTCATCACACAGATCTCGTGCATATTTTGTTAGATTTACACCTAAGTATTTCATTTTCTTTGGCATAGTTGTCAGTGGAATTTCTCTTTTTGTTTCCATGTGCAATTGATTTTTGTGTTGTCACTATATTTCAGCCTTACTGGACTCTTATTCTAGGTTTTTGGTAGATTGATTGAGATTTTCTATGTAGATAATCATGTAGTCTGCAAAAAAGAGGTTAATTTTTTGCCTTTCACATTTGTATGCCTTTTTCTTCCTTCATGGCAGTGGGTAAGACTTCCAGTATTATGTTGGATAAGAGTGGTAGATAGTGGACATTCTTGTCTTATTCTCAATCTCAGGAAAAAACCATTCACTTTTTTACTATTAATTAACTGTGATATTAGCTATAGGTTTTTTGTAGATTCTATTTGAAGATTGGGGAAGTTATACTCTACTTATTTTTCTGAAAGTTTTTATCATGAATGGTTGAATTTTCAAATGCTTTTTCTATGCCAACTGATATGACATTTTTCTTTAGCCTGTTGATAACAGTAGATTATTTTGTTAGATTTTTAATTATTGAACCAGACTTGCATACCTGTATTAATCCCATGAATTACAAAATGAATTCGGAGGTATTCCCTCCCCTTTTATTTTCTGTAAGAGATTGTGTAGAATTGACATTAATTCTTCTTTAAACATTTTGTGGATTTCTCCAGTGAAACCATCTGGGCCTGGATATTTTGTGGGGGAAGCTTTTAAATTACAATTTGATTTATTTAATGGTCATAGGATTATTCCAGTTATACCTGTCTTGCTTTAGCTGAGTTTTGGTAATGTATGGTTTTTCAAGGACTTGGTTCATTTTTTCTAGGTGATAAGGCCAAAAGATGCCCCTAGTATTCCCTGCTATTCTTTGAATGGCTGTGGGATCTGTTGTAATACCCCATTTCATGCTTGATAATGATAATTTCTGTCTTTTCTCTTTTTATCTGTGTTAGTCATGCTAGAGGTTTATGAATTTTTTTTCAAAGAACCTGTCCTTTTGTTTCAGTAACTTTATTGTTTTTGCTTTTAATGTCATTGATTTCTGCTGTTTTTCTGACTATTTCTTCCTTCTGCTTACTTTGAATTTATTTTGCTCTTTTTCTAGATTCTTGAGGCGGAAACCTAGATCATTTTTTAGACTTCTTTTTCCTTATGTAAACATTTAGTCTTTTACATTTCCCTCTCAGCACTGCTCTAGTAGCATTCCGCAAATTGTGATATGTTGTATGGCCATTTTCATTCACTTCTGTGTTTATTTTTATTTTCTTTGAGACTTCCTCTTTGACCCATGGATTACCTACATAACCCATGGTGTATGGTGTTTAACGTCCACATGTTTGGTGATTTTTCTCTTATCAGTTTCCAGTTTGATTCCCTGATGATCAGAGAATATACTCTGTATGATTTCAAGGGTTCAATAACTACATGTAACTGATGGCTAGAAGGAGATATAGAGAATTAAGATTTTAAAGGCTTTGCCAGGTTGAAGCACATCTCCCCAAAATTAATAGGGGTAACATGAATAATGGAAAGTCCCAAGATTAACTATATTACTATAGGATGGGACCTAATAGGCCTGAAGGATCACTAAGAGTTTTTAAGTTTATTATTAACTCAGTTTAGCTTAACAGTGTTACATGAGTAGTCATGGAAAGCTAGCACTGTTAGACTGCATTAATAGAAATACAATCTTCAGAATAAATAAGATAACAGTATTATTGTACATAATACTTACTTGTAGAGATTTTTGCTTATGGAAAGAATTTAGCCATAGCATAGACTACAAATCCTGAAAGCCTCTCCTGCCTTTTAGATTATATGATTGGCTTTTCAGTAATTTTCACCTAGATTTTATAATCCAAAATAACCTGTAATAATTGCTTTCCTTCCACCAACTAGGTAATTTTGAAATTATGTCACTTAGCTACACCATCTTATAACCAGCCTATGAATTTTTTTTTACAGTGACTTTCTCTCCCCATCTTTGAGGATTTGTGCATCAAATGTTTTTTCCTACCTTCTACCTCTCATTACACTTGGTCAGGTTAATTACATTTTACCCAATCTCTTGCTTATGTAAGCTTCTCTTAACTCATTCTTTCTGTTCTTTTATTGCTTAGGAAACTCTTTTATTTTCTTTCTTTTGGTTTCATATGAGTCCAAAAGTAACCATTTACTGATTACTAAGGGACTAAGAATAGGAATAATGTGGAGAGGATGTGGAGAAATAGGAACACTCTTACACTGTTGGTGGGAGTGTAAACTAGTTCAACCATTGTAGAAGACAGTGTGGCACTTCCTCAA